CGAGTATCTGTTTTAAATGTCTAATGCAACACATGTAATAATGCGATTAATAGGCTCAGCCACTAATATGACATATGATTTGATTCAGTTTTATAACACGCTTAGAAACACGTATTCAAATAAGTATTGAAATTGACAATGCAGTTTGAACGATGCGTCGACCCTCGGTGCATGCAACACAAATGAATGGATGCAAACATGCGAGCATAAGGTATGCTAATCGAAACATGACCCTAAACTAACCATCGAAAACAGTTAAATAAAAAGGAGAAAGACGCGAGATTGGAAAACATGCACACACGCACGCACATTTATTACAACATTGTGCCCCCTCGCAAAGGAGGGTGCGAATAAATAAGCTAACTAACTAGCTACGCTAATTAAGCTAACTATTACAACACAAAACTAATTAACTATTCTAGTTAACTAATTATTACAAACTGAAATTGAGTAACTAGCTATGCTAAGCTAATTAAAGCAATTAAACTAGTTAACTATCTAAGCTAATTAAATAATTACAACACTTCATTAACTAGCTATTCTAAGCTAACTAAAGCAATTAAATGGCTTGAGGGCGAGAGACACATGCATGCTTGGTTGCTCCACCCAAAAATGCCATTGCCTTACCATCGGATGCCTCTGTTTGCACCCGTTTGATCACTAAAAATCGTGCCAACTCCCAGAATGCCTTTGCTCCAACTCAGAAGCACATTTGTACAAAAATTCACTGGTGCCTGGTCGGCTACAAAAAGTGGCTGTTGGCTACTGAAACTGGCCGGTCGGCCACTCCAAGTGGCCGTCGGCCACTAAAACTAGCCGATCGGCCACCCCTTTCCTGGGCTTATCATTTTGCTGCAACAGAGAGCAAACAGAGGCAAAGCAATGTATTTTCAACGAATGTGTGTGCTGTTGCCCTCCTTATCATCACACAAACTCAAAGGAGGGTAACTCTTGGCCTTCAAACCATCAATCAAGCATTCTCGATGCATGATGGCTAGAGAACCAAGCTTGTACAAGGTTAATGAGTAAACAAACAAGACCAAAATAACCACCACCCTATCATGCATGATCAAGGGTGACGGTGACCAAGAAAAGTGACACGTTTCATCACTTTGAGTATGAAACGTCCCAATTTTCTCGTGTTCGGATTAACATCTGATCCGAACACATGCAATGCAACACAAAGATGCTTAATCTTGCCTCTTTTACTTTGTTCATTTTGTTTACTCATTTTAGATTACCAATCCATTCTTTAATTGATTAGTCCAAAGGGTGAATGTCCTCTAATGGAAAAAAGGCTTAAACCACAAGTACCTTGAGCATGAAAAAGGCCTCATGCTGTTGGTAATGAAGTCTCGAAGGAATTAAACCATTAGGCATGAGGGTCTCAATTCCATACTAAAGCCAACAAGGGGTTCAAAGTCACTTCCGAAACAAATGAAAGAGTGAAGAATAAAGAAAGATTATAGAGATTTCAGTGCTAAAATGGAGTGTAAAATGACACTAAAACATACAAGCAGTTGATGCAAGTCATATTAAAAAGCCTAACACATTAAGCTAGTGAAAGAGGCTACACCACAACCACACAATACAAGCCTCAAAGGGCCAAACCAGCTCAAAACAGAGCTAAGACTAGTCAAAACAATGACTAAAACATGCTGAGATTGAGGTACAAAATACTAGAAAAGCATGCTCACATGTTAGCTTGTAAACAAAACTCAAGAGCGACTCTAAAAAGTAAAGAAAGAGTGAAACAAATGAGCATGTAACAGAGCTATATATACTAAAATTACATGTAAAAAGACACTATAACATGAAACCAACTCAAGCAAAGCATCTTTAAAGGCCTAAAACACCAAACTAGTGAAGCCATTCGCACTACAACTATCAAAACAGAGCTAAGACCAGTCAAAACAATGACTAAAACATGCTGAGATTGAGGTACAAAATACTAGAAAAGCATGCTCACATGTTAGCTTGTAAACAAAACTCAAGTGCGACTCTAAAAAGTAAAGAAAGAGTGAAACAAATGAGCATGTAACAGAGCTATATATACTAAAATTACATGTAAAAAGACACTATAACATGAAACCAACTCAAGCAAAGCATCTTTAAAGGCCTAAAACACCAAACTAGTGAAGCCATTCGCACTACAACTATGCAAAACAAGACTCATATGACCAAAACAGCCCAAAACAGAGCTAAATCATTCCAAATCAGAGGCAAACATATGCTGGAAATAAACTAAGTTAGGCTACAAAAACATGCTACCTTGTGATGCTAACTAGGCATGCAAGTGAGACACAAGGAGGGGAGGCTAACCCCTCCCATTTTGGACTTCAAACCATGTTTTCCACCACTGAAATAACTCTAAATTTCAGTGGTTTAAAGGTCCAAAAAGTTTGATTTGAAAGCCTTGAAAGATGGCACAAAAAGCTTCGCAATTAGGCAACAAGAAGGGTAGACTACCCCTTTACACAAAATAACCTCAAACCATCATGTTAAGACTAAAAAATCAGAGTTTTTTGTAGTTGGAAACCAGACCAAAAATAGTACAAAAAGGTAACAAAGCAAGTAAGCAAAACAAAGCCTACAAGGTAAGTCTTATATCTCTTGAAGCACAGCACAAAACAAGCACAAATTCCAGCTCAAACGTCCCTCAAGAGCTCAAACTAAACCTCAAAGAACCTCAGCTCCAAGGTGAGAATGTTTGGTTAAGGGTCCTTGTGCAAAAGTGTAGAGAAATCTAAGTATAAGGCACAAAATAAGGAGAGATAGAGAGAATTCTAGAGAGAGAGAAGAAATTTTGATCCAAAATGTCCAACCTCTTCAAATGGGGGAGAGCATCCCCTATATATAGAAAACCAAGAGTAAGGCTTGTATTCATCCCTCAATACATGTGTATGGAAATGCATTTCAGTGAACAACAGCTGGCATAACTGGAAAACAAACATCTGAAAAAATGGACAAATGGCCATCGACCACTTCAAGTGGTCGACAAGAACAAAAAGTGGCCGACAAGGCCAAAAAGTGGCCGGCAAGGTCCCTCTCCTTTCCAGGCAAGAGGCAACAAGGTTTGACCCAAAAACAAGCACAAAAAAAAATGGGTTTAGAGGCTCAAAGACAAGGCGTTCCGCTGAGAACTTCGAGCGCTCAAAACAAGCACAAACAAGCACAATCATCGAGTGTACAAACGATGACATCCAAGTCTTGAGGTCGGTCAAAAATGAGGTGTCTACACCTATTTGTGGCTTGTCCTTCAGCTAAGGTTGCCACGGATCGAAACTCCCAAATGGTTAAATCTAAAATAAGAGTCTAGGCTCTGATACCAATTGTTACCCAAAAGACAACCTAAGAGGGGGGTGAATTAGGTTTTTACAAATAAAAATAATAATACCCTAATAAAAATTATGACTAGCATAATATGTAAATATAGTTAATGAAATAAAAATAATTAAAACAAGTGTTCTAACAACTATGTCAGTTAATGATTTTAGTACAGTGAAATTGTGAAATATAGCTATGGCAATTTGAATAAAATAAAGAGATAAGGGAGAGAGAGGTAAACAAATTTATAGTGGTTCGGCTTCAACTTGGCCAACGTCCACTCCTCAAGCTTCACTTCAGATTTTCCACTATACTCTAGCTTCACAGGGTGCTAGCAACCTTTTCACAGATGGAGCAATCCTCCACAGATTTTACACAAACTTTCTACGTCAAGAACACTGAGTATACTGCACTCTTACAAGGTTGAAAAGAATGTGTTTTTGCTTTCACAGAAAGCTATAAGAATTATCTCTCAAAGATAGATATAAAAATGAAGCTCTGATTTTTCTGTAAACCTCACACAAGAAAAATGGGTTTAAAGCTATATGTCTCAGTGTATAATTTTTGAAAGAGGATGTAAACAAAAATTGAAGAACACTTCTCAAAGAATTTTTTAGAGAATAGATGTGAGTGATTATAGATCAAATAATATTTTTTGGTTTTTTTTTGTCACTTGTTTACATTAGAGGCTTTGGTATATATAATAAAACTTATAGCCATTTATAGTCGTTGTACTCCATCATTACTAATTTGAATATCTTCCACTCCATCATTACTAATTTGAATATCTTTCGCTTGAACCTTTTGGCCTGCTGCTGTGTTGGGTTGTTTGAACCTTTGTTTTGGACTGTTTGAACCTCTAGTTTGGGCATTATTTTTGGGTTGAAATGAACTCCTAATTTAAGCAAATATTAAATACATTCAAACAATATTTTGGATAAAAGTTTAGGTGAGAAATAATGAGACAAAATAAATTTTGATTCTATTTTTCTCTTTCAAATAAATTAAAGCATTATTAAATAAATCATCAAAATAAATTTTGGATTCTATTTTTCTTTTTTAAATAAATTAAAACATAATTAACTAAATCATCAAAATAAATTTTGAATTCTATTTTTCTCTTTCAAAAAAATTAAAACATAATTAAATAAATCATCAAAATAAATTTTGGATTCTATTTTTATTTTTTAAATAAATTAAAATATAATTAAATAAATTTTGAATTCTATTTTTCTCTTTTAAATAAATTAAAACATAATTAAATAAATTATCAAAATAAATAAGTCTAACATTTAGTATTTCAGAAAGGTAGATCCTTGTAATATTGAACCCAATAACTTTTGCTTTTGTAGAATAGAATTGCAATCCAAACAATAGTTTTGGAGTTACATAATGCATCACTACTTTTTTTTAACATGATCTTTTGCAACTTCCTAAATAATATAACTTAGCAGCCTTTGCAATCCCATCAAACAATATCAACGCATTAAATCTACTGATTTTGTTTTCCCTCCACTACACCTGAGCTGTAGGCACTGTTTCTCCTTATATTTTCATATGTGATCACAAAAAAAATAGTATTGCTGGATATCATAACTTCAGTACATAACCAATAATATTTGTTCACAATCACCATAACTTCATTACATAACCAAAAATCAAAACAACATAACTTTATCTCCAAAATTAACTTCATAACATAACTTCATTACATAACAAATAATAATAATAACATAACTTCATTGGTAATTAATACACAGCCTATTTTACACATCTAACATGGGACTTAATAAAATAAGTTCCAATCTTAAAAACAAACTATAAAAGTTCAATAAACTAGTCAAGCATGTCCATAATGTCCATTATTCATTCCCGGTGTGCATGCATTAAAATCGATAGGGTTAGAGATCCAGAACCAAAAATTTGAGTTGGAGCACTCATCAAAATTCCCGGTGTGCCTCTTATAAAGTCCGATAGGGTAAGAAATGTGCCTCCAATAGCATTTACCACCTGTGATAATTCAAGTAAAAAAGTACATGTTAAAAAAAAAATTTGTAAATGAAAACAAGCAATTGATGTAAAGTTGTCTTATAAACACGTAATAGTACATACATATTATTTTGCATGCCAACCATATAAGGATAATACGATGTATAAGCTTGAGCTTGAACTTGAGCTACAAATCAAAGCACCTTAGCAGCCTATATTTGTTCAAGAATAATTAATGATTGAAATTTATGAATTGCTTTAATGTACTTGAAAATAGTTTGTCAAAAAGAAAAAAAAAAAGTTCAATTCAATAGACAATTTACCTTTGTTTTTGTTTGTTTTTTTGCCGTTGTCTTGAACCGATTCACTATTTGATTTACTTCGACAACCTTTTGTTTGGTAACTGGACGGCCCTTTCGCCGAGCAACCAAATGACTAATCACCTTCCTAGTACTAGCTCCTTCAGTAGAACCGGAAGCAATCAGACTTTTTCTAGAAGATGGTATCATATTAGTAGAAGGTGGTAAATTACTCCCATCACCCGATTCATCTTTCATGACTCTATCCTTCATTTCATCCAATCCAAGGTCTATAATTTTAATTTTCCCTTCAGAGTTACTAACAAGTTGTACAATGCCAATCAATTTCTTGTTCATCATCTCATAGCAACTTGCATTGAAATCAACCCCAAAGCTAGTGTATGTGGTTTTGATGCATATGTACTCTCGAACCAAATCTTTTCTCCAGCGTGGCAGAATGTATTTATTTGGCACCTCATTTATGCACCTTTTCACAAGCACAGTGAGTGATTGAACACATATAATGCCGCTAAACTCAAACAACTAACACATACATTGAACTTCACATTCAGTTGAATTAAAATAGACAACAAAGTCCACATGCTTCATCTTCTCACAAACTACCATCACTTCTTGGACATTATATGTACAAATTGATCCCTCCTCTCTAACAATCAAGGCATAACAGTAAACTAATATCTTCAACTCTCCTTGAACTTCTTTAAATTTTGCATTGGTGTAGGCTTGCTGAAATTGCTTCTCAAAGCCATATATAATTAGGCAATCAAACAATTTGTGTCAAGACTTGAAGTGTGATTTATTCTCTTTCTCTACTTTACTTTTCAAAGCATTGTCATATTGTTCAACAAATTGCTGTAATATAGTCTTTGGGTTGACATATCCATCAAAAAATGCATTTATGCTTTCACTTCGTTGTGTAGTTGACATACCGGCCCAAAAAATATCTTTATCATATATAGGAACCCATCGATGCCGCTCATCATATAGTACCCCCAACCACTCATTATCATAAAGATTGAATTTTGTAAGCATCTCTTCCCATTTATTCTCAAATTATAAACTGCATTTTGCATAGCCAACTTTATGGGTTCATTTTGAGCATACCCTTTCAAGGAATTTTCTTCATTATATGCCACAAGCACTATCGATGTCGAGCCTGTGGAAAGACAATTTCTATAGCATTTTGCATAGCTTTGTACTAATCAGTTATGATAGCTTTTGAAGGATGATTTGACATACAACTTAACCACGACTTGAATAGCCAAACAAACGTGTCAGTGTTTTTACTAGATAACAATTCACAACCAAGCAAAATGGACTATCCATGGTAATTAACTCCTACCAATGGAGCAAATGGCATGTTATATTTGTTCATCAGATGAGTTGTGTCAAATGAAACATCTCCAAATGCTTCATAAGTAGCCAGACTCCTTACATCAGCCCAAAACAAGTGTCTAATGCGAAACTCCTCATTAACATCAATCACATAAAAGAATCTCTCGCTATGTGCTTGCATCCTCATAAAATAACTTTGAAGTGCTTCGGAATCACCTTCCCCAAGCCTCAATCTTCAAGCTCTATCAATGTAATTCCTTGCATCTCGCTCATCAAATGTCAACGTATCCCCCCATTTCAACAACCGTTGAATGATAATTCCTAGACACCTTAATCCCTGCTTGATCATTAATTTCTAATCTTCTCTTCACAGGAGGAAGAATTTTCTTATTCATTGCAAAATGACGTGAGTCGGTGGGAATCAAATTATGATTATGCTCAAGGTTAACGGTGGTTAACATATATCTCCCATCCTTTTGTAGACTACCTCGTACCCTTGCTTTGTAACTAATTTTTGTGGACAAAGATGGCTTTAGAGGTTCGCTTCTGATTTCTTTTTCTCTCCCCCGCTCGAGAACATTCAAATGCAAAGTTTTTTAATTGCCCATCATCTCCAAAATGTTGTGCTCTATAAGCTATAGAAAATCCAACAGGCTCAGCATATTTGCCATAAAATGTGTACACTTTTTCCCTTGAGCTAAAACACATACCCTTCTTAGGTTCTTCAACTTTTTCACTCTCATTTACTGGAAGATTGTCACCACCATTTGAATCAACCTCCATTATTCCACTTTCAAAAATGAAATTGAAATAGAATGATTTCAGAATGATTATTTTATAAGATTATTGGATTTTTATTTTCTGGGTAAGTCCCAGTTTTCAAACACTAATAAATTATTGCAGCTTCAGCTAAAAAGTATAGCTACCTCTATTTCATTTTCATTTGAGTTATTCATCCAAAATTTTTTCATTTGAGTTATTGGCAACTCAAAATGTACTATTTGACATGTTTACAAGTTCCAAAAAGAGAGCTAAGACACTAATATTCAAGTTTGTTAAAAAAAGAAAAAAAAAAGAAAAAGGAAAATAGAGACTTAATTTTGGAGAAATAGAGAGAGCACAAGAGGCAAATTCAAACCGATCAGAGACAATCTTAGTTTAATTTCAATGAATAACAAATTGATTAAGACTGCTAAGCATTGTCTTTGTTCCAATTCCGCTCTTAACAACCATTTACTATACATATATAAAGTATGTTAAAAGTCCATATAAGAATTATTCATAGTTCTGGATGTTCTACAATAAGTTAATAAACATAGAACACATTGTAGACACCCCATTTTTGACCGACCTTAAGACTCAGATGTCACTGATTGAGTGCTTGGTGATGTTGCATAATGTGCTCGTTCAGAAGTTTCAAAGTTGCGGCAGTGAGCCCTGCCTCCGGACTTCCGAACCCTCTTCTGTGCCTTGTCTCGGTTTGCGAACCAGACTCGGTTTTCTCTGTTTCTTTTCCTGAGGGGAGGGAGAGGTCCAGTAGACCATCTCTCAGTGGCCGTGGGCTACATTTTGTGGCCGCAGGCCATTTTGCCCATTTCGGAGTCCGGTTCTGCAAGGATGCTAAAGCATAAAAACTCACCGAGTACTCCAAGCCAAAATAGAAACTCATTAGAAATCATGCATGAATCCTAA